GCAGCTCCTTGGAAGGATTCTTCCAAGAGAACGGCAGGTTCACGTGGCAGCCGGGAACATTAGCCCCAGTTGAGAATCCTTACTCATGGGTCAACCTGACCAACATGTTGTGGTATGTCTTTCTGTCTTATATCGTTATTCAAAAGATTACAAGTCCGGTTTCTGATGCGCCTCGACTGGGACAGGGTCGATCAGCCTGTCGGCACGGGCTTCGCCACCGGCAAGCCGACTGCAACGTCGCAGGAGGAGACCGCGGAAGACTTTATCAAGTTCTTCAAGAACTTTCAGGAGATTTTCGGTATCAAGAACTATAAGATCTATGTCACCGGAGAGAGTTATGCGGGCCGCTATGTTCCTTATATCTCTGCCGCAATGCTGGACCAGAATGACACGGAATATTATGACCTGAAAGGTGAGCTTTATCTCAGCAGCTATTGCTGCTCACATGCTGACAATATTTGCTCAATACAGGCGCCCTCGTTTATGATCCATGCATCGGTCAGTTCGACTATGTGCAAGAAGAAGTGCCTGCAGTGCCCTTCGTTCAGCAGAACGCCAACCTGTTCAACTTCAATGCGAGCTTCATGGCCGAGCTGGAAAGGCTCCACAAGTCCTGTGGCTACCAGAATTTCATCGATGAATACCTAGTGTTCCCTCCCTCAGGTGTCCAGCCTCCCAAGATGTTCAACTACACGAGCGATGCGGAGTGCGACGTTTTTGATATGATCAACACTGCCGCCATGGCTGTCAACCCCTGCTTCGACATCTACGAGATCAACCTAATGTGCCCTCTTGCATGGGATGTTCTTGCCTTCCCCACCGAACTCGTCTACCAGCCCGCCGGCGCCACGGTCTACTTTGATCGCGAAGACGTCAAGCGTGCCTTGCACGCTCCGAGCATCAAGTGGGCCGAGTGCGCGGACGAGGCCGTCTTTGTGGGTGGCTCTGGTGGCCCCGAGCAAGAGGGTGACTTCTCCGCCAACCCCATCGAGCATGTCCTCCCGCAGGTGATTGAGGCGACAAACCGTGTGCTTGTCAGCAACGGTGACTACGACATGATCATTCTGACCAACGGTACCTTGCTCTCGATCCAGAACATGACCTGGCATGGCCAGCTGGGCTTCCAGTCCGCTCCCAGCACCCCAATCACGATCACTCTGCCCGACTTGCAGTACGCCGACGTGTACGCTGAGAACCACATGACCGGAGTGGACGGTGCCCAGGGTGTCATGGGTGTCCAGCACTATGAGCGCGGATTGATGTGGGCAGAGACCTACCAGAGCGGGCACATGCAGCCCCAGTACCAGCCACGGGTGACGTACCGTCACCTGCAGTGGTTGCTGGGCCACATTGAGTCTCTGTGATTGCTGTATATATGCATGTATGATGAAGATATATAATGGAGATGGGGCTTCGATTATTTTGACAATGTGAATAGCAGTGATTGTTCGAATGCCACGCTATACTCTGAGAGGAAAATCTACCCTGAGATCTGAATTGTTCTAGGAATACGTTCCCTGATTGGGGTTTAAACCAGTTTAGCTTTCACTCGATGACCGATATCAAATTTTTACCCGTCCGGGTAAAGTATGTTGATTGATAGGGGATTCTCAATAATGTAGCCGCTGGCCGTTCCTCCCTTCAAGAGAGCGAGTGAGTCGACTTGCTAAATGAGGTATTCTTTCACAGTAGACGACAATCTACGGTACATGGTAGGGAAGTGCAAGGGTCATCTATATCTGCGAAGCTAAATGGAGAAGAGTTATGCGCATATAGTCTCACCAAAAGCTATGCACCATCCACGTCCTTCCTCCATTGTCCACAGATGTGATCAAGATCAATGGATGAGGCCTGCTCCTCCCACAAAGCTTCAAAGCAGAGACATCGATGAGATAAGAGCACTTAATGGTGTGTATGCATGACTCGTGAGATGCGCTAGCCGAGGTAGACTTGCAGTAGGCTTGAGAACAACCACTCGCATATCATCTGCTGTATCTACGCAAGTAGCCTATTCAGGAAACAAGGTACGTGATCTCAAACCCTCTAGGTTGAGCCTAGTGTTTAGTGTAGACGGACTACTCCGTAGCTCACGCGATTCATGAGGAGGGAATTTCCGTAATTGTAGGCGAAGTGTAGCATTATTTATCCCGCAGTAGTTCTTGCTAGTCAGATAGCCGACTGGCGATCCAATTGACGGCCTGTTAGCCTGTTACTGAGGTGAAGACATGCAATTTGAATTTCCGAGCTGAGAGCAAAAGTAAGACACCTTCGCACTCGAGTGACAGCCTCACGTCCTGGGAAGGCTAAAGAAAAAAAAAAAAAAAAAAGAAAAAAAAAAGAGAGAGCGGAAAAAAGAGACAAGAGGAAGAGCTGATTGGTAGTAGCTGGACAAGGTGATATTGGTGATTTGGATGCTAGTAAGACGGTTGCGGCAATGAATGGATTGATTTGCATTTGCCCCAGCAGCCGCCAAGCTCCCAGAGACGATCGATACCGCATACGGGCAGAATTTCCTTGGACGCTACCTTGGTCCATCGAACCGTCGACATCGGCTACAAGGATGCGTATTGTTGGGAATAATGTGAACGACATTAGTGCTGCATATTGGATCTTCAGGTTATTTTGAATCTTGATAACCATTTCAGTCGCATTGAAGAAAATGATAAGGTCCAGAGAGTATCTTACCTGTCACCGTATCCCCGTTGTATCGTAAGTGAGTAAAGGTCGGCTAGGGAGTAAAGGTACACACACTACCGTACCACCTGGTAATAACTTGCGGTTTGGTAAGGTACCGTACCGATTGCCTACCCTCCCATCGAGTGGGGACGCGGCAGACCTTGTCCTAGGCGGGATTAGCGCGTAAAAGAGAGTTGCCGATGACGTAGAGTATCTACAAACACTTTCGCATGTGGACTTCAACGATCGGTATCGAGAGTTTTTGCGCGATCCATGGCCGTGCATTAACCTAATATACTGAACATTGGCTCAGATGGAAGGATTGAAAATATTGGTATAGGATGGCAAAAGGAAAGACAAAAAAAATGCAGAAAGTAAAAGAACAATAAGAACAAGGCACAAAACTGCCAACAACAAAGTACTGCAAAATTTTTTTGCCAGTGGACTAATTGGTGGGGGCGGTCAGAGCTGGTTACTTTGATATCAAACTACGTACCTGTGGCCTCGAGTTAGTGCCACACCTGAGAGGCCCGGCCTTGTACCCTCACTACACTTCTCGGATAAATGAGCACTCGACGGCTCGGGATCGGGAAAGGGGACTTCGTGTCACCCCATTTTTCTTCCTTGCTTGATATGCAGTCGCCCTGACGAGAACAGTCCTGTATGCTCTGTTAACTAACCCTGCAGGAAAAGATGACTGGCGTGCTTATCAGCCTGCTCCTACATAGTCACTGGGATGTAATTTGGGACTTCAGCGGAGGCTGTTACTTCTTTGTGCAAGGTTAGCACTTAACAGGGGTAGTCGCCAACGGGATCGGATTAGTCCACTAAAGGATTAGTTGGAACTTGCAGTCAGCAGCCCGAGGCAAGCCACTACTCCTTTTACCCAGACCCGTCGACTCCACCGCTTTCCACACCCGGTTAAGGAAAAGAAAAAGAACCCCGCTGCCCCACTCCCTCACTAAAACGCAGCCACTGAGAGCTTGGACACCACGCTTTTGGCTGGTGCGTTATACAAGTATCTTACAATACAGAGCTCTACACTGGGTAAGGAGATTGATTTCAGTTCAGTCCAGAGTGTGGACATATACATGCAGCTGACTATCTTGCTTCGATGCATTTCTGTCTAAAGATAGGATGGACTAGTGATGTAGGTACTATGCTCCCGAAAAACACTTCTTGTATACCTATCTCTTGAGACAATGAGGGAGGCTCCTTGGCCATGGTACGATGAATGATACCTTTGGGTAATAATACAAGGTTAAACCACAGAAGGTAATAATCTAACCACATTCAGACCCACCAGCCCCATAGTAGATGCCTTCATCTAAGGTAGATAGCCCTCCCGGGTGTCTGCTGCAACCTACCAGAGCACTGCCTTGCGAAATGCTCAGTCAAAATGCATCCTGCAATCATTATTATGGTTGCATTCTCTTTCTTCTCATTGGACTGTCGGACTCGGGTCCGTCGGTTTTATCCCCTTGAGGCTTTGTTTCCCCGACTTTCCTGGATTGTCCGATTTCCCAGCAGACATCCTCCAGTTGCCTCCATTGGAGTCCCCTGTATATAGATGCGGTTGCCCACCAATTTGCGACGATATTGTTTCTCTCTCTCTCCAACTTCTGCAGTCTTCTTCCCTCCTTTTGCTCTCCCCTCATTCCTCTACCTTGTCACGAGCAATCAAGGTGATAGCTGATTCTTTGCAGCTTCTCTCGGTTGACTCTTGCCCAGCTCACTTATCGACCCCACATTTACTTAGGACTGTGGTTGTGTTACACTCACAAGCTGTCAAATCCTACTCTGTTGGACGGTCTTCTCTAAGATTGTCGAGTCTCAGTTCTACTCTTGATTTATATGTCACTCCTCACATCCTACTGCGAATTCTTACGCCTGTGACAAACAGCATATTGGCCTTTCAGCTGTACGGCGTAGGAGCAGCAGCGACAGCAGCAACAATAGCAACAACCCCCGAAACCTCGCCCGTACGCCCTCAGCGCCGTTTTCGGTCGAGAATCACGTATCATTGTCCCTTGCGACAGGCCTCTGAGGATTTCCTCCCGAAGTAGAGCCCGTGGACGAATATCTTCGCGTTCGACAGCCATTGCGCCTCTTTCTGGCCCTGAGCGACAAACCGCCCTTATTGGCCTTGCCCGTTCACCGAACAGAACCGTGACCGGTCGCCTTCCCAATTGCGCCAATAACGACAGTCGAAGAGACAGTAGATCTAGGTCTGAGGGACGGAAATTCGACCTCGAACCGGACCATTTCCTACACACGCCAATCCCAATCGTCCCATAGTAGTATCGCCAGACCCATCCGCCATCATGCCATTTTTCAGCCCGTTCCGGAAACACGACCAAACAACCTTCCATGGTGTCGTCATTCCTATTAGCAGTGCCCCATCGCATGCGCGCCCAGAAAGCCCAGCCCTGGAAACGAAGGGAAGTCCAAATGTGAAACCGGATGATTCCAGCCTGGACAAGGCTCCTTCTCAGGAGAACGGCTCTGCCGCTTCCATCCATGAGCGCAGCCATCTGACTATTGAATCTCTCCGTGCTGAGGTTGAGTCTGATGTTGCTGCTTCAGGGCATGATACCGCTTATGACCGTATGTTCTTGTTGTCCGCGACTATTGAGACTTGGATGCTTCTGGTTGCCCGTTCCTCGGCATTTACCTTCAGAACGAGTCTACCCTCTGTGGTTCAGGAATGTTCGATCTAATGTTGGCGTGTTATAGGCAAATCCAAGGTCATTAACCGAGCAATTCAGGATATCGGCATGGGTCGGTATCAATGGGAATTGTTCTGTCTTTGTGGGTTCGGTTGGTTGGCAGACAAGTAAGTTAGATGCTCTCTTTTCTTGACTATCCGTCGCTAATCGGTCCCGCAGCCTTTGGCTACAGGTAAGAACAGTATCAATGCGGTGTATAAAACCCAGACACTAATCAGATCAGGGAGTTGCCCTTACATTAACACCGGTCGCCTCTGAATTTGGCATTTCTTCCACTCGGGTTCGTTTCACAACCTGCGCCTTGTTCGTAGGGCTCTGCCTGGGTGCATCCTTCTGGGGTGTCGCATCAGATATCATCGGACGTCGACCGGCCTTCAACCTGACCCTCTTTATTTGTGGTGCTTTTGGTTTGGCCGCTGGTGGTAGTCCCACGTGGATTGGGTATGTTCATTTGATACTTTCTGTCCGCAGTCGGGGTCGGAGCTTGCGGCTAATATATCTCGAATCTAGTGTCTGTGCTTTGTTCGCCTGCCTGGGCCTCGGTGTCGGCGGTAATCTGCCTGTTGATGGAGCTCTTTTCTTGGAATTCCTGCCTTTTGCTTCCGGAAATCTCCTGACCATGCTGAGTGTATGGTGGCCTGTTGGTCAACTTATCGCTAGGTTGGTGCTGCCCGAACCGTCGAGCGATGTGAATTCAAATCATCTAACAACCCGCTAGTCTTATTGCCTGGGGCTTCATTCCCACTTATAGCTGCGCGGATGACCTTCCCTCGTGCAACGCAGTCGGTGATGGAGTCGCCTGCTGCGGAAAGGACAACAACATGGGCTGGAGATACTTCGTGCTCACTATGGGCTCCTTGACTATTGTCATGTTCATCTGCCGCTTCTTCCTCTTCCATCTCTATGAGTCCCCCAAGTTCTTGCTCGCCCGTGGTCGCCAGGATGAAGCCGTTGCTGCAGTCCACGGGATTGCCTACAAGAACAAGGCCAAGACCTGGCTCACCGTGGACATTCTCAATGAGATTGGCGGCTATCCCGAGGAGAGCGTCCCCCAAACGCTCAGCAACAAGGAAATCGTCGAGAGATACCTGTCCAAGTTCTCTCTGCAGCGCGTCCGCCCCCTGTTCGCAACCAAGAAACTCGGCTTCACCAGTATGAACCCCTTACTCTCTGAATCTACATAAACCTTCGCTAACGTGACTCCGACAGCGGTCATCCTCTGGTTCTGCTGGACCACCATCGGAATGGGCTACCCCCTCTTCAACGCGTTCCTGCCCCAGTACATCAAGAACGCCGGCGGCTCCACCGAGGCCTCCACCTACATCACCTACCGCAACTACGCCATCACCTCCATCGTCGGCGTGCCAGGCTCCATCCTAGCCTGCTACACCGTCGACATCAAGTACATCGGCCGCAAAGGCACAATGGTCATCTCGACCCTCATCACCGGCGTCCTCCTCTTCTGCTTCACCGCCTCCACCGACCCCAACGTCCAGCTCGTCTGCACCTGCCTCGAGGCCTTCTTCCAGAACATCATGTACGGTGTCCTCTACGCCTACACGCCCGAGGTCTTCCCCGCCCCCAGCCGCGGCACGGGAACGGGTATCTCGAGCTGTCTGAACCGCATTGCTGGACTGTGTGCGCCCCTCGTCGCCATCTACGGCGGGGGCTCGAACCCCAACTCCCCCATCTACGCCGCTGGAGGACTCATCCTTGCGTCCTTTGTCGCAATGTGCTGTCTTCCTATCGAGACGATGGGGAAGCAATCGCTGTGAAGCGTTTCTTTCCTTCTCTCTCTTCTCCCCTGTCGCCTGTGATATGTGTTATCCTAGCCAGAACATGGGTTTGAAAATCTTGGAAATGAAAATCCGACATATTCGAAGCATGAAAACCAGAAA